GATTAATAACTGGTTTGCACTAAAAAAACCAATTTTTGTTTGAACCAGTTTTAAAATTAAATTTTCCTCAAACTTATTTTGACGAAAACTTAATTCTTAATCCAACAACTTATTCTTAACTCCATCCAACCATTTTTGAAATTAATAACCATTCATTGGCAGTAAATTGAATTGAAATAATTAGTAATAATTATGAAAAAAAATGCTAAGGAACCGTTAAAAAAAATTAATTTTCAATCAGAAAAATCAAAATTGAGTAATTACAAAATACTCAATCTCTCTCACATACATATAATTTTATCTCATTTATATAAAAATCTCTTTTTTTTCACCTTTTCAAGAAAATGATCTCTATATACTATTTTACACTTATCATTTTTCTGACTCCACCCGTAATCACTTTAGTGAAAAAAATTTCTAAGAAAAAACATATCGGTTTAATAATTGAATTAATTCAAGGTAAGAAGCATATAAAAACAACTTAGTAATCATATAATTTCAATCTAATAATAAACATTTAAAATGTAATGTTGAATGTGAGATGAAAGACTAAATACATCATTATGAGACTATGAGAACACAAAGTTCTCTTAAAAAAAGTAATTAATATATATATATATATATATATATATATATATATATATATATATATATATATATATATATATATATATATATATATATATATATATATATATATATATATATATATATATATATATATATATATATATATATATATATATATATATATATATATATTACAAAAAGTGAAAAGTGGACTAACCATGTATATTTTATTTATTAAATATACATTACTTTAATTGTCATTTATGACCATGAAACAAAAACAATGTTTGAAAAGTGGACTAACCATTTATATACTGATTTTAAAAAGTAGACATCGGTTTTTAATAATTTTAGTAAAATGAATTTGAACTAATTTTAAAATTAAATATGGACTTTTGAAATAGGTGCACCATATTTTTAAGTGTGGTTCTTGTGAACCGGTTTTTTTGCACACCCCTACCAAGATCCCAGTGTTATCTCTTGTATCGACTGTAGAGTGCTCCTTCCAATCAGATGAAAAAAAATTCATTTTCAAACCCCCCATATAATAACCATGTGATAGTACTTATTTTTCATTCCAACATGTGTTGAATCACCCCATTTTCCCAGTTGATTTCAATGTTGTGGGTCAGCATTCAAGTGATTGAAACATCGTTCCTCAAAAGTTCCTCATGGTTAGATTTTACTTGAAATAGCACATGAGACATCAAATATAGAATGACATGGTAGGATATATGATTTCATATACCTCACACGAGAGGAAGTTTATGACTTTACTTTAGCTAAGGAAAAAGGAATATAACAACAAAGAGTAGATTGAAATTTTTAACATCAGATGGAGCATCAACAAAATAACGGTTTCTAATAAAAAGGTAGATCACACAACATTCCAAAGTCTTCACTATTGAGATAAATTCGATTTTTACATATTTCAAATGTGATTATGCCGGTAATGAATTTTAGGTTGGCATAAAACATCTTGATCAATCTAAGTTACATCTTTAATGTGCTTGTGGCAGATAATATCTTTGATTCTTGCTTGACTGAGATTAATTTAGAATTCAAACTTTCTTTAATATTTTACATTGAGGTACATAGGTTTGATAACTCAGAGGCTGAGGAAGTTTTTTCACTACTACAAAAAACACATATAACAACATTTGCGAAAGACTTATAATAACAGTTGAACAACCGTTGTTAGGTACAATGTGGTTGTAATTGGATTATTTACAATCACAGTCTATTTCCCATGGTAGTAAACTAGATAATGCGCTACATACAACCACGATTGTATTAAACAACTGCTGCTGTATGTCTTTTAATAAAATAAAATAAAAATGCTGCAGTAGAACAACAACAACAACAACAATATCAATAACGATAAATACAAGAAGAAGAACAAGATGAAGAAGAAGAACAATAACAATAAAAACAACAACAACAATAATAACAACAAGAACAACAACGACAACAATAACAAAGAAAAAAAAAACAAGAACAACAACATTAACAAACATTGCTAACTTGAATCCATACTTTCCTTGTCTCATTCAAGTTGGAGAAGACATGATGGAGTTCTGAAATTTGTTAATGAAAGAAATGATATTTTCGAATATTGTTTATGGAAGCAACGATATTTTCGAGCTTGGTTTAATGGAGAAATACAGTGCCGTAAATGAAAGATGGCGTTTGGAGGTAGAAGATGAAGTTCATCTAAGTTTGAAGTTTGTCTAAGTTTTAGATTTCACGTGGATCACTAATGGTAGGTTCTTGAGCGTTGATAATCACTAAAAGGATGACAAAAATTTATTTAAGGACAATGAAGAAACTCAATAAATACGCTTATATTTTCCCATGATCCTGAGTGACTTCTAAACATGCTATATACAACAACAGTTGTATTAAACAACTATTATTGTATGTCTTTTAATAAAATGTAAAAAATACAGCAGTAGAACAACAACAATAACAATATGATTCTAACTCATGATCATGCGCTACAAACAACAACAGTTGTATTAAACATCCGTTGTTGTATGTCTTTTAATTAAATATAGAAAATGCAACAGAACAACACCGATAAAAAGATTCGAACTCATGACCAAGCGCCATTTTTTACCACTATTAAAATTTCCAACCATAGTAAAAAGTGGCTTAAAAATGAAAATAAAAAGAAAGCACCAAATTGAATATATTTTACCACGGTGGATCCCTTAGACGTGGTAACACGGACGATGTTGTATATCCTTTTTGTAGTTGTGTGTTGTAGAAATCCTCTTGAAATTTGGAGGTGAAATATTTGGACTTATACATACTTGATAATGGACTTCCAAAGTGAAGACTTTTGGTGCCATTGAATGATGATGATGATAGCCAACAAGTAGTAGAAACACCAAATCGAAAACACGAGGAGAAAATGTTTTGAGATGAATAAAAAGAGGAAGGAGAATTTTGTATAGCCATCTTGTAATCAATTATTAGGAACTCATCTAATAAAAAAATTATTAGTGTTGATTGATCTTTGAACATAGCTAATCAAAAACTAACTCACCATTTTGAGAGTTCTTATTTTTTTTTAGCTCTTTAGTTTATTTGAATTTGGTCTTAATAGAAAAAATCAATAACATTGATTAATCTTCCATTAGGGATGATTGAAGATTGATTTTCCTTAGAAATTTGTTGTTGTTTTAAGATTCTTAATCAGTTAGAATCTAGTCTTAATCGACTAAATCATTAATGTTAATTAATGTATAATAAAAAAAATATCGATATTTGTTTCACCTTAGATTTTGATTGCTGATATGAGTTTCTAATCGATTAGGTTTAGAGCTTATTCGATTAGTCGGTGCAAGATTAAAAAATAAAGTCTTAATTGATCAACTGGTAGGTGAAATAGATTAAGAAGATAAAACTTTAGCTTCTTTGAAAATGTCACCTTCTTGAATCACTTCTCTATTTTACGGTGGTGCAGGTTGAACTTGTATGATTAGCACTCCAACGTCTCAGTCAATTTAAAATTCAAGATGAGTAAAGTGAAATTAGAAATCAAAGATTATGTATCTTCTTATAATATGTGAACTATTTTTATATTTTAGAACGAGTATAATGGGTTTGAGATGAATTGGGTCTCAGTCAATTGAATCTTTTGGCCGGTTCAGAACAATGCTCCACTCTATTACTCACAAAATTACCTTCACAAAAGCTCAAGCTACAGGGTGTAGTTGGCCGAACAGGGCAATCCTCAAATGATTTAATATTTCCTCCTAAAAACCATTGAAGGACAGTCTAAATCTTAGTCTAGAGAATATGTATTCATAAAAAGGCATTGAACATCCATTGAAAGAGCTGCACACCCTCTTATCTTATTAGGTTCGACGTGAGAAATTGGTCAATCGGAGGAGGGTTCCACGTCCAGATAAACACCCTTCAAACTTTGAATGCTACTAAACATGGATGTCGCCCACACCAATTATGTCTCCACCCAAAATTGTTGATAGACGTCAATTAGCAACACAAGGCTTTGTTGGTCCTTTCAAACCGTGCCTTCCACATTGTTAATAAAAAATAATGTTTGTCATAAATTTTAGAATGGCCATGAAAGTTGAGATACTCCTTAATCTCTTTGTTGCTGGATTCTCGACCGTTCAAAGATCCAAAAACTTTAATGAACATGTCTGTGCCTCAGGTTATCACAGTACAATTCAGCAGACTCAAGATCTTCCATGGGCAAGGCCGAAGAGAGTGATCAACAATATTTAAAAATAATATTCAAACATTAAGGTCTTGATTTAGGTTTGCTTTAAAAAAAAACTAAAATAAAGATACAAAACATGAGAATTTGACATGTATACAACACTTCTAGACTTGTAAATTAAATGTAAAGAAACATCTTAAACTACAAATAAAAAAAAAAAAAAATCATATTAGTTTAATAGTGGTATGAAAGATTAAAAACGTGCAAAACCAAAAAGTTTGACCAACAATATTACTTAACACACCATTTCACTCAAAGAAGTAAAACAAGCTTCTTAAATTGGGGTATTAAGAATTTCTTAGTATCGCATCAAGGTAGACAATCTTATCTAATAGTATACACAACATGATCATTAATTATATGCCTAATCAATATCAATGCTAATGTTAAGATCGGATTTTTCACCGACCACAGCTCATTGTTTGTTTTTTTAGTCCTAATATTTCTCTCCATGCTTGGCGCATATCAATGCGAGCCAAACAGCAAAGAAAAGTAAGGAAACAGCTATGCATAATATTGCAGTGGGAGTTTGACCAAAAAAATTGCACGAGGAAACATGTATGGAACTCTCTATATAAGAGACACATCTCATATGCATTTTCATCAAATTTGAGCCTGGAAGTTCTCTTTTTCCATCTTATCAGTTTAACTAAACAAGGTTCAATTGTAACACAAAATGGCACAAAAACATATTCTCATGTCACTAGCTATTTTTCTGTCACTCCTCTTAGAATCCTCCTTGGCCAAACATAACTCTCAAACAATAACTTACATAGAGTCCTCATGCAACGGTACCCTCTACCCTAATCTATGCATTCGTTGCCTTAACAAATTTTCACATTCAACCATAAATGGTCCTCAACACTTAGCCCAACTTGCCTTATCCGTAAGCCTCTCTAGAGCCCTACAAACAAGAGTATACCTTTCAAACGTAGCCAAGGAACTCAAAACAATTGACCATAACAACAAAAGGATGTTCCTAACAGTGCAGGATTGTGTGAATCAAATCAATGATAGTGTTGACCAACTAACCCAAGCCATCAAAGAACTTAAAAAGTTGAACCAATTTAACAGCATCATCAATGATAAAGTGTTGTGGCACATAAGTAATGTTGAGACATGGGTTAGCACTGCCTTAACAGATGCTAGTAGTTGTGTACAATCATTTCCTGGTCATAGAATGAGTAAAAGCGTTGCAACAATTAAGGTTAAGGCAAAGAATGTTGCAGAAGTTACTAGTAATGCACTTGCTTTGTTTCATAGTTATGCTTCTAGGTACAAACTTGCAGCAGCTGGAACAACCAAGAAGCCTTGAAAAGCTAAAAAGTTAGCTTTTTTTATCATCCTCTGTTGGTTCTTGTATATATATTGTGTACATGTTTTTTTCTTTGGGTGGTTTGACATCGTTATATATATTGATGTATGATTGTATGATTAATCTCATTATTATTTATGCTACTATAGTTTTTATTCTTTGATAATGGTTAAACAATTTCTTGAAGGAGGACTTCATAGTCGCCACATTTCTCAGGAAAAAAGCTTTAAACAATAGTTACATTTTTGATTCGGATTCAATTTCTTGCTTTGGAGATCAATTTTCATTTTTCAATTTCGTTCTTGCCATTCTCCTTTATTGCAATTTCGTTTGCTTATATTTTTTTCCTGATTTCATATTCACTTTCACTTTCAATTTAAATTCTCGACCAGTCGAAGTTTTCCATCTACGAATATTTAGCTTTCTTGTTAAGCATGTTCTTGCTCTTGCAATTACAATTATATATTCTTTGCAATTTTTGTTCCCGTAATTTTCCCCAAATTCTAGGGTTCCAAATTGAATGGCATTTTTGTGTTGGTGTTTGATCTGAGATTACGAGTTTAATTCATCTTGCATGGCTTAACCACATAAAGCTTCAACATGAAATCATTGTGAATTTCGACGTCGCTGCCACGGTTTTTGATTCTACAAAAGAAGAATGTAAGAATTCGATTTGGATATGGTATTGTGAGCATTTTAATTTTGAAGTCTCATTTTCTTTTATTGGGTAATATCATTTTCGGCTCTTTGTTTGTGATTTATAATTTCGGAGTAGTTAATCATTACAATTCTTGCATTTGGTACATTGTTGTTATGCAAAACTAGATATCCACACTTGATATTGTTATATTTGAGTTTGTAGAAGATTGAATTTGGATCTCTTTTCAATTTTGATTGTGAAGTTTCTATTACATGTGATTTTGGCTTTCTTGTATTTTGGAATTTTAAAGCCTTGATCAATTGAAACCCATTATTATCTTATGTCATGAATATTATGTTGTGGTTTCTTGGTTTGAAGATTGGTAGCAATTGATATCAAATAATTATCTGTTTACAATATTCCTTGTGTTTTTTTATTGATATTTGGAATATACTCTTGGTTTTGGAATCGTTGAGTATTGTCAAATTCTTCATCTACTACAGAGTTGTTCTGGCTAGTATTTAGATGCCACTCTATTATATTTTCTTTGAAGAATTGATGTGAAGCAGAAGTACATGGAATTACATGCCTTTTTTAATGAATATTCGAAGCATGTAATTTTGATATTTCTAATCCTTCAAATGTTTTTTTTAATAAGCAAACCAAATTAAAAAGAGATTAAGGAAATCTCAAACCAAGAGCCGATTATAAAAAATCAAAGGAGAATTTAAACCAATTATACAAGCAACACGACTTGCTCCCTTTCCTATCTAGAATCAACCAATTCCAAGAATATAGTTTTATGTCGAAAACAATACTATCGACCTCAGTGACTACATTATTAAAAATACAATTATTTCTAGACTTCCAGATACACCAGCAAGTAATAAATCAAATCGAATAAACTTTATTCGCCTGACACCGACCTCTAAGGCTCGTGTTCCACTCCTTAGCGTGGGAATAGCAGCAATAATCCGAGATTATATCTATATCCGTCCATTCACAGATCTTGTTCCAAACCTGAGTAAATTTAGAGCACGAGAAGAATAAATGGGATACGTCCTCCAGACTACTTGAACAAAATACACAAGACAAATCCTGCTCGGAATCAAGAACACTTCTTTTCAATAAATTAGATCTCGTAGGTAATCTATCAAGCGCCAATCGCCAACTAAAAATTTGCACTTTCGCCGGAATAACTGTCTTCCATATGGACTCAATAAGGGAATAATCCTTCAAATGTTGGATGACAAGGAATTAGAGAGTGTAATAAAGAATCTCGGCTAGTCTGTTATGTTCCATCAGCTGGATGTGTCTTTTGTGTTGAGTTTTGAGGTTTATTTCGCAAGTTGTTTGGATTAATTTAAGCTCCAAAGTTTCACAAATTCAGTTCGGCAGGTCCAGAGTTCATTGCAAGTTTGATTTTATAAGCTTGTTGCTTCATCAATGTTTTGCACAACTACAAGATGTTATGTTTTGGTGAAGTTTTGAAGACAGATCTACAAATTATCAGCTTGTGTTTGCGGTAGCTTTCGATATAGATCATGTTTTAGATTTTTTTTCTTCTCTCACTATCAAGATATTTTAGCTCTGATTTACTGCTACTCGCGACTCTATGCATGCGCCACTGCCAGTGTTTGGAATCATATTCGTATTAATTTTTCTGGATTGGAATTTGTGAATAACATCCATTTTGTGAAGATTGGAATCAATCCATTTATGATTGATCGTGTTGCTTGATGTTTTAAAGTTTTATCTGCAAGTTTTATTGTTGTGTGAAGATTGGAAAATATGTTTAAATTTCTCAATTCGGTTGACATTAGTACTACATTGGTGAATTTATCTTGTTACTGTAAGGTTTTTTTTTTCCTAATAGTGCCTGCAACACAGTTGCATATTTTGTGTTTCTTCCATTTGTTTTTTGTTTTTGATGATGTATAGCTTCATGGGTGTGAGATGTTGGATCGAACTCTAGTATGGTCGAAGTCTGTTCGTGAGTAATGCGTGTTGTAGTCGAAGTTTGTTCTAACATGCATTAGTTAATATTGCTAGGGATGTTAGCATGTTGAATTGGGCCTTACTTGTAAGTCCAATTGTTTAAGTTAGTTTGTACCCTAAATTAGCTTATAATGGGTAATTGTTAAAAAGCCCATTAGGTTAGTGTGCTATTTTTCTTATAAATAGGATACTAATTTCTCAATCTTGGCATAAGGAAAAATAGGAAGATAAAATCCTAATTTCAAGGGAGAGAGATTATTTTTGTTATTCTTGTATACTTGTAATCTTGTTCTAAGAGAAAGGAAAGAATAGCAGTTTAATAACAAATCCTTGTTGTTCCTTGTTATTTTACCTTGTCTTCTTCATTAACCCTAACCCTTGTGTGTTTCTTGATCATTAAGAAACCGTTTATACTTTGTTTGAAGGTATCCGATTCACAACAAATTGGTGCGGTGAGCGTGGAGAAGATGCCTTCAACAAAGTATGAGATTGAAAAGTTCACCGGAGTGAACGACTTCGGTCTGTGGCGCTTGAAGATGAAAGCCCTATTGGTTCATCAGGGTTGTTTGGAAGTGTTGAAGGGTGAGGCAGCCATGGACGCTGCGTTAACGGCAAAAGAAAAGACATTGCCCAGTTGCAAGTTTTTCCACTGTATGCAGTTAATAAAGCTGCATGAAGAAAGCTAGTTTCTTGATGTTATAGAGTTAGATCCAAGGTGGAGATTTGTGAGATGTTGGATCGAACTCTAGTATGGTCGAAGTCTGTTTGTGAGTAATGCGTGTTGTAGTCGAAGTTTGTTCTAACATGCATTAGTTAATATTGCTAGGGTTGTTAGCATGTTGAATTGGGCCTTACTTGTAAGTCCAATTGTTTAAGTTAGTTTGTACCCTAAATTAGCTTGTAATGGGTAATTGTTAAAAAGCCCATTAGGTTAGTGTGCTATTTTTCTTATAAATAGGATACTAATTTCTCAATCTTGGCATAAGGAAAAATAGGAAGATAAAATCCTAATTTCAAGGGAGAGAGATTATTTTTGTTATTCTTGTATACTTGTAATCTTGTTCTAAGAGAAAGGAAAGAATAGCAGTTTAATAACAAATCCTTGTTGTTCCTTGTTATTTTACCTTGTCTTCTTCATTAACCCTAACCCTTGTGTGTTTCTTGATCATTAAGAAACCGTTTATACTTTGTTTGAAGGTATCCGATTCACAACAAATTGGTGCGGTGAGTGTGGAGAAGATGCCTTCAACAAAGTATGAGATTGAAAAGTTCACCGGAGTGAACGACTTCGGTCTGTGGCGCTTGAAGATGAAAGCCCTATTGGTTCATCAGGGTTGTTTGGAAGTGTTGAAGGGTGAGGCAGCCATGGACGCTGTGTTAACGGCAAAAGAAAAGACATTGCCCAGTTGCAAGTTTTTCCACTGTATGCAGTTAATAAAGCTGCATGAAGAAAGCTAGTTTCTTGATGTTATAGAGTTAGATCCAAGGTGGAGATTTGTGAGATGTTGGATCGAACTCTAGTATGGTCGAAGTCTGTTTGTGAGTAATGCGTGTTGTAGTCGAAGTTTGTTCTAACATGCATTAGTTAATATTGCTAGGGTTGTTAGCATGTTGAATTGGGCCTTACTTGTAAGTCCAATTGTTTAAGTTAGTTTGTACCCTAAATTAGCTTGTAATGGGTAATTGTTAAAAAGCCCATTAGGTTAGTGTGCTATTTTTCTTATAAATAGGATACTAATTTCTCAATCTTGGCATAAGGAAAAATAGGAAGATAAAATCCTAATTTCAAGGGAGAGAGATTATTTTTGTTATTCTTGTATACTTGTAATCTTGTTCTAAGAGAAAGGAAAGAATAGCAGTTTAATAACAAATCCTTGTTGTTCCTTGTTGCTTTTTTCTTTATTAACCATAACTCTTGTGTGTTTCTTGATAAGAAACCGTGTATACTTTGTTTAACGGTATCCTATTCACAACAATGGGCTTATGGTTCTATGATTACATCTTTGATGAAAAACATTGATTTCTCCAGAACGTTGAAGTTTGAAGAAATTTTTTTTTGTTGAAATTCTTTGATGAATATGTACCTTTGTTGCTACTTACTAATATTATTATTTAGTTCGCTTTGAAGACCTATACATGTGATTGTGGATCATTATGTGTTTTCTTCATCACTTCTTCCTTTCAGGCCTAGTGCTTGTTGATTTTTAGGAATATTATGGCCAAAACCCACATAATATCAACAACCTCAACCCACCTGCTAAGACCACATGAGATGTCTTGAGAGGACTTAAATGAGATTCGACAATATTGAACATGCATTTGTCAGTCATGTGAGCCTGTCACATTCTACTATATCTTCTTG